ATAAGAACAAAAATCGAAAAAGTACGCATACAGATATTGTAAAAATTTGAAAAACGAAAATAGGAAAGAAAACGTATTTATTTGAAATAACCTTGTACTTAAAAGTAGGCAATACAGTAATCTCGTGTGCGGTTTCCATTTGGAAACAATAAAAATGTACGCCAAACACGAGGTTGCTGTTTTGCCTAAATTTTGCTTTCATTTGCGTCTGGTCTTTCTTGAACCTTGAATTCATATGCCTGTCTTTCAACTTCCGCTTCTTCCGTGCGACGTTTGTATGTGTGTGTGTGTGGGGGGGGGGGAATGATATCGAAGTGAAAGAGAAGGAAAACATCACAGTTATTGGACTGATGCCATAAGAATGGAAGGCTTTAAGTAACGTTACGTTAACGAGTGCCAACGCATCAAAAGTTAATTTGGAAAAGAAAAACGAGATATTTTTATAATTCGCACGCCCACAAATAGATTATTAATGAGAAAGAGGTATGTATGTTATTATAGCGTAATTAATTTTCTTTCGAGTAGGCATGAAATATTGCATATTTTCATAAAAATATCGATTTCTAAAATATTCATAACTTTTCATAAAATCTTAATAATTCTAATGCACACATAATCATTTTTAACAATCGCTTTTAAGCGCAAAATGAAAAACACTGAAATCAGCAAAAAAAAAAAAAATATCTAAGGAACGTATCGCTCACAAACTTTGATCAAAGTCTAATGTGAGCAATTGATATTCTTATCACGTAACATTAAGTTCTTTTTTTAAATTTAAATTCATAGTAATCATAGTAACAGTAGGTTTACTGCGAATGTTTACGGTTTTCTAGCGTAGTTCGTCGTAGTTAGCTTTGAGTTCAGGTTTAGTTTGAGTTCAAGTTCAGGGACTAAAATTTTCATGCTTTGGGATCTTCATGAAAAGCTGGACCTCGTTGAGTGCTGAAGCAATGTGAGGCAGCTGAAACTATCATTACGACTCAACAAACTGTCGTGAGCGAATGCTAAAGTGTAATTGAATTTATTAATTGATAGCAAAGAGGAGGCAATCATCAGACGGCCCTTGGTAGCAATGAAGATTTCGGACGCTTCTATGATTTAGTTAAATTCCCCTTTCCCTCTCGAATTCTTTGACATCATTGACATTAGTTGATCTTTGACGTTAGTTGAGTTCATCAACCTCCTATAAGTTGATCTGTGCCTTTTCCCATACTATTGTATTTGTTTTTCCTTATTAAGGGAGGATAGTTCACTTTTATTTAAAATTGATTTGTACAGAAGAATTCCAAATTTTGTAGTTAATATAAGAACTGAGAGTGCTTAAATAGTTTTAAATATTAATGAAAGGAATATAAATTTAATGTTTGAACTGCCTTAAATTTGTGGAAAGAGGAATATGTAAAAATTAAAAATTTTACTGACATAATGACTTAAATATACCTGTACATATATTAAATTAAATACATATTAAATATACATAAATTTGTTAAGGTATTCAAAAGTATAAAAGTGTTCAGTATCCAGAAAAAAAAATGTGCCTTTAGAATGTGAGTCTTTTAAGAGATCATGTAGAAACCTGGATCCAGTTATCCCAGTCATCAGAATGCTTATGTAAACTAGAGAAAATTAATAAAAGAGTTTAATTGTTAAATTCTTGCATGTATTACTATTATTTTGTAGTTTACCATAGTCCTTCCATTTGTTTAATGGGAAGGTTCTAAAAACAGGGAGTCCTACGAGATTTTAGGTTTATTTGAGAAAATACAATTTAAATCTTAGTACTAGCCATAAATTGAGATAATTATTGATTAATAAAGGTTCCCGATGTAGTAACTAAATTTTAAGTGAATTTATTGATTTTTTATTATTAAGGAACTGATTGATTGATCTGTTTGAATATTTCTTCCCTATTGTTTGTGAGGTTGGATATCGATGGAAATGAACTTGTTGCTATCTTTAGAGAAAGTTATGAAAATAATTCTGTATTTTGTTTTGGTGATTTTAGAAATTTAATTTTGTGTTTTTAAGAATTCCATTTGATACTATAATCATACAGATAATTAGGGGAGATAACATATTTATATCATTTGGGTCATAAAAATGAAATTTTACTCATACTGAAGTACATGTTTTAAATTTTTATGATACTGCAATATGGCATTACAATGCACATCAGTCTTCGCGTAAAATTAAATTTTTCCTTTGAAATCAATGTCTTAGTTGCTTTAACTCTTCAAAAACTCAATTTTATATCAGTTTCTTTTATTCACAGGAGCTAGATGGTAGTTAAAAGTTGTCAGTTGACAAATCATTATATTAGCAATATTCATATAAGTTTATAATCACTTTAATCCTTTTACATTTTTAGTATTTTGTACAATCACTTGAAATATTGCAAACAACCAGCAGTATTGATAGAATATACAATTAAGAAAATTTCAAACTTTTATTAAATGTATTAAATTTAATTGTATTTTCAAGATATAAAAGTAAGGTTTGACTTAAAATTACCAAAAAAATCCAGATAACAAGAACTTTTTTTGTGAAAAAAAACCCTATCATCTCAGATGACAATTAAAAATCCCAGCTATGGGTGGAAAACAACAGATGCGAGAGCCGTATTAGCCGATTAGCAGATATGCCGATTATGTAGCACAATACGGTTTTAGAAGAATTTCCAAAAAAATCCAGATAACAAGAAGTATTTTTGTGAAAAAAAACCCTATCATCTCAGATGACAATCAAAAATCCCAGCTATGGGTGGAAAACACCAGATGCGAGAGCCGTAGATTCAGATATGCCGATTATGTAGCACAAAACGGTTTTAGAAGAGTATGATAAATCGGTACGAGTTAAATAGAAAACAAACGGAACCAGATGAGCAGAACACTGAATTGCAAACATTATTATTAGCAGATTCTAAAGGGCACGTTGATTTGTACTAGCTCAGTTAAGCCATGGAATAAAGCGAGAACCACAATTACGAAGAACTTCGCACACCAGAATGTTGATAACCAAAGCTTTGTGAGAAGAAGACGACAAGATAGAAAGTTTAGAATACATCAATATGTATAGGCTTAATTGTAGAGTCTATTGGAGGATCGCAGTTAGAAATCCTGCAATTTGGGAATCTGTAAACTAGCAAACAATTTTTGCTTTTCATTTGCCTCAAAAGTAAATGTGCATACTGGTTGGAATTATTAGAAAATTTAAAGATAGCAAAAATTCTCCAACCGCACTAAAAACGGCTTTTTTATTAACATGACTGTTCTGAATCTTGATGTTAAAATAAGGAAAAAAAACGAAGCTTCCTTTCGGAAGATTCCATATAGAAATTAAGAATGAATTAGAATAAAGACTAAAGATAGTGTCACTAACCAATTTATAAAACTTTCCGAGCTCCAGAGGACAGAAGAGAACAAATAGAATTGAACTGCAATCTAAAAACTCATTGGAAGCGTGTGAAGTATCCTAGCTAAGAGGTAAGATGCACCAAAAGAATTCCCTTTAGTGGTTAAGTAAGATAGAGTACAAATGAAAAACGAAACAAAATAAAAATAAACCCTCAGACTGTCGAGGTCAAGGCTTCATATTTGGGGCAAAAGGGTGAGAATGAGCATTCTTTGCCAGCGGTTTAAGGGGCATTACCATTCAAAGGGAGCATAAATTATGTAAAAAATTTAGAGGAGTAATAAGAAAGAGGATCTTAAAAATCAACTATCGGCTGTAATGGAATGCATCTTTTTATGCATTTTAGAAAGGTGCTAAAAATAAGAAGACTAACTGATAAAGTATTGATGGATGCTGATTTCTAAAAAAATGAAGATTTTAATCAAAATTCATTTGCGTTTAAAAAGATTTAGTTTGCCCTTAGAGGCAGGGCTTAATTTTTAAAATGAGAAGTGCCGGAGCTCTCTGGAAGGCCATTTCGAAGAAAGGGGAAGATGAATAAATAAAATAACTAATAATTAAACCAAAATTGAAGTTCAATAAATATAAAGATAAAAATAAAAATTTAATAAATTAATGATAAATAGTTAAATAAAAGAAATAAAATATCGGACCTCGTCTTATTTGAGGCTCCGATTGGACTTCTAATTTCATAAAAAAAAAAAAAAAGAAATTGCTCAGCCGGCCTCCGATTGAATTTAGATGCTAAACATACCATCTCAATGGCAGGGGTGGGGAACCACTATTCTTTTCCATTCATTTTCTAGCACACCATTGGAAAAGTAAAATGTTAAGCGTCACTAATAAAAGCAAAGACAATGCTAAAAACAGTATGAGAGTATGGAAAGAAATTATAATGATGAATTGTACCTTCGGAAATAAAGAGGAAAGATTACAACTCTTTCTGAGCGCGATGCCCTGCCAATATAATTACAGCTGGGAGGCAGAATGCGACTGGGCAGAAAATTTCTCCCTGAATCCGATCCGATGACAACATGAGAATAAATGTAAGGTCTGTATTCGTGACAATTTTTTCCTCGTGTTTGGTTATATAGTTCAAGTCTGCAGGAGCTCTGTAGTGACTAGCACTAGCATTGGACGTGGAAAACCAAGTAATCACTGTTACTACTCTGGGAAACAAAATATTTTATCCGCTTTCATAAATTTATTGCACTACCTGAATAATAAATTGACATGTGGATGGGGCTTTTCTTTCCTTAAAAGTCTTAACCTCCGTCAAAGTATTTGTTCCCCAGAGAAAAACTGGTATGAATTCAAAAGTTATAATCGATTTTAAAAGTATACTTATTTTTAAAATAAAATTTGTGTACTGAAACTGTGTTTCGCTTACATAAAATTAGAACTGCAGCCTTTTTATTTAGGGCTTCGGTGCAATTTAACATCTGACATAAGTATTTACTGAACCAAAAACGTAAATATTTACTGAACTGAAAGCATGCCAACTTTTGAATGGCCAGCTTAGTAGCAAGGTACGAATCATTACGGTTTTCATTTTTCGGAAAATTTGTGACATCCTGGTCTGTCTTGAGGCCTTGAGAAATCTATACAAAAAGAAAATACCACAGAGCGGGAGGAAGAGCTTTGACAGAAGTCTAATTGCTTAGCAAAGAAAAAATGTCGAAAGTTTCGACATGCTAGTTTCAAAATTGCAACTTTAATAACAGAAGAAATAAGGAAGCAAGAGAACAAACATGTAAAGGTACGACGTGCGGAAAAAATGTTCAATCTCTTATAAATAAATCTAGTCATGAGACGTAACTCAACCTCTTGATTATCACAACTTTAATTTTCTTAAAATACGATTTTATTTATTCAGAGAATTTCTATATTTTTAGTTAATATTATTGTCTTTAACTGTTATTTTGTTTAGTAATGGAGTCCAGATTTCTAAATAAAGACTCAAGCTTTATTTCATTGGAAAGTGCAGTACTAACGGAAAACATTCTCCACAGAGCTGAAGAAGAATTGGGAGAGACAGAACAAAAGCGAAAAGAATATCTGCAGGAATTTAAAAATTTGATTAAAAGTAAGTATTTCTGTCTAAGAAAGTTATTGCACGCGTTAGGAAAATTATTTTGACTTTGAAACCGAACTCTTAGTTGCTTCAAATCTTAAAACATCCAGTTTTATATGAGTTTGTTTTATTCGCAGGAGATAGATGTAGTTAAAATTGATCAGTTTTCAAATCTTTACATTAGCAATGCTCTCGTCTTTAATAGATGTAAGGTACAGGAACAAGTTTGGTAAACTCTTAAGGTTTTCTAAAAATTTTAGGAATATGCAATAATCTTAAAAAATGACACTATACATTATTGTAATAATTATAATTATGTTATAATATTATAATCACTTTAAAATGATAAAAATAATTGTGTTTATAGTTATTTAGCTATTTATTAATTTGAATAGTTTTTCAAGTTCAACAATTAATAAATACAATAATACATTAACTATTGCTTAAAAATATTAAGCTGGTTTCTGTCATAAGGATTTGTATTTCAGTGTTTTTATCCCTTTAATCTTGAGACTCAAGTATAAGTTTTCTACCAATAATAAATATCCATTTCTCAATCTTCCGATTATATTACTGACAAACTTCTATTAGAAATTGTGTTTAATAGCCTATAATAGAAGATGATGCCCTAAAAATACTTTTATATTAAAATACATCATTATACTTCTTAAAAGTAAAACTTCGTAAATATTTAAATATCGGAACAAAGACGACTTATGTAGGTCAATAACTGCTTCCAAGTAACTGTTAAGAAAATATTGGTTTAAATATTTTCTGAACATTTAATTTTAAGTATTATTCTGCGTTGAAAAGTTTGAATTTAGTTTACCAAGGGAATTCAAGTGATATCAATATTTGTTTATAGTTCATTTTCTGTTCTACTGAAAAGAGCATATACTTTTTTCCGAAATATCTTGTGAAATATATCCTTGAATGAGTTTTCCAAAATGGGCTTCGTAGTTTGTTTCCATACTTCATGAATGGTTTTTTGAAAAATCAGTGAGCATATTATAATACAGTATAATTTAAGTGAATCAATCAATAACTTTTGAAATAAAGCTCTTCTACTAACTGGGAAAATATTAAAATCGGTACTTTCCCAAATTTTACAGCCAAAGATTTTACAAATACATTTAAAACAGTACATCAAAATCAATTTTTAAGAACTGAGTTTTTGATTTTCTTGAGAGGTAAAACAATTACATTTTTATTTCATACCTGGTATTTATAACAACTTTTAAACAAATAAATTTTTGCTAATAATTTTCAAGAAGAATTTTTCTTGCAGAAGAAAAGAACCTGAATGCTGATATTTCTGACAATTTCCTTCTGGGCTTCCTACGGGTTAAAAAATTCAGACTTGATGCAGCGTTTAAACTTCTGAAGAACTATTATTCAAACAGGCAAATTTATCCAAGTCTGTATCAGAATTTTACTCCCAGTCACTGTCATAAAATTCTGAAGGCAAATTTCATGAATTACTTGCCTTTACGAACAGCTGAAGGAGCTGCTGTCTGGGCCCCTCGGTTGGGTAAGTATCTTAGTCTGTTGTAGTTTACATGATATCTTTCTAAACTCTTTACTATATTTGTAGCTCAGTATTTGCAAAGTCAGATTATTTGCAATTTTGGGATCTATTACAAGACGTTCAGTAAATTAATTAAAATTTTGAAGTAAAAATTATTAAATTTCTTTTAAAAATTATCCATTGTTTCCTATGGAGCATTATGCAAATGCTCGATAGAAAACAAATGGCTTAATGATTATAGCTTTTTAAAGACAAAAGCTCAAATCAGTTTAAACAATTTCGCTAAATATAGAAAATTTTAATTTTTTTTTTTTTTTTTACCTTAAATTTAGGCCCCTTCCAATGGCGGAACGGATAAGATCCTTGAACAAAGTTTGATCGGGTCTCAAATTCTGGCGATGTTCAGTAATAAATGACAATATTTTAGGCATATTCTTTTTTTAAGACTTAAACAAATTAAACTTTGAAAAAATTATATTTAAACAGCATTATGCTTAATATTTTCGCGTAATGTTTAAAACACGTAAGTAAGGTAAAGTAACGATATTTTCCTTTGAATTAATATTGTTACGAATTTGGCATTAAATAATTAACGTTATATGAATTGTAAATTAAAAATTAAATGGTTTTATTTCCCGCGCAGTGCGGCGCGGGACGAATATTAAAAGAAAGCTAAGCCGGAAGATTAAAAATACAAGAGCGCGTGCATTTAACATTTAATAAATAAATATCTCTTTTTGATTTCGAGAGAGTTCCAGAAAGTTCTCGCGCGTGATTTAAACATGTTATAAAAAGGAGGAAACCTCTAAATTCAGTTAGTCAGTGATTTTAGTTAGTTTGTTGTTGTTTTAAGAGTTTGTTTAGAAAACTGCTCTTGTTGATTGTAGCGAATTCGCGGATTAGCTTTCTTTAGCTGTTTTGAATTAACTTCTGTTGAACGGTTGAGTAGTTAAAAGATAACTACTGTGAGATATTGTAAAACTGAAAGAATATCTCAGGGAATTTAAGCATTTTGAGATAATAATAAATTTTCTTGTTCATTTTTCATCGGACTTGTGCATTCATTTCATAACGAACCCGTACGCACGCAACAATATTTTACTACTGGAATCACAGTTCTTAATCTTTCCTCTCGAACCAACGTACGTATTCAGAACGTATGCGAATTATTCTGATATTAAGATTTTTTACATTTACAATAGCTAGCAGAATTCATTTTAAGTTATAACAGCTATATTATAATCTAGCAATATCGACTTTGCAATGGTATAGTTACACAACATGTTATCAAAATGTAAATTAAATGATCTCAGATATATACTTCCAACCACAAAGTTTCCCAAAACAAAATAAAAAATTTAATAAGAAAACATTTCAGCTTTTGAGTATAATACAGCTTTGTTAGTATGCAATTTACTTTTGTATGATCCCCGTACAGCTAAAATTCTGATTTGGTAATAAAATTTCGGTAATAAATTAAATGAAAAATATTCTTCAGCGTTAAGTGCAATATTTAGAGAGATACCAGTAATCAATATTTTGTCAGCACCAGCTACAAAATTAATATTTAATGTTTTTTACAGAATGAAAAATTATTAATCGCCAATAGGAGCTATTTTCATTTTGCAGTTCTTTAGTTAAGTTTATAGAAAATCTGAGGTTTTTTTCCATGCAGTTTCGGGAATATTTAATTTCGGATGAGGACATGCATCGGAAAGTGATCTAAAACAAACAATTTGTTTTACAGATATCTTTCCAATTTTTTCAAAAAAAAGGTACCGTTTTTCTCTAGAACTTAATACGCTCACCAGTGGCCGAGCGGTAAAGTCCCTGAACACTGGCAGTTCGGTGCGAGTTTCAATCCCGCGAATGGGCTGGCTGCATGGGCGTTTTCGTGGCTTTCCCCATGTGTAACGTATATACAAGCCAGTTTCCCTTAGAAAGTCCTCCGTGAAGGCATCCCTTTCCTTAGGCAGATAGCCCTCGAGGTTTTGCCATAATCACACACACACACTAGAGTTTAATACAGTTTGCTAACTAGACTCTTTTCTTTCCGGAATTTGTATCAAACGTTAAACTTTGTATTTTTAGAATTATTCTATCTCCAGTGATGAAAATGTACACATAAAATTGCTTATTTATTTTGAGAAACTTTGTTATTGTAGATATGTGTTTAAGAACAATATTTAAGAAAATGAAGGCTGTAGATGACACTTTCGGACATTCTGTAAAATTCTGAAGTCGCTGGATCCCTTTCTTATTTCTGTACAGTAACATAAACATTCTTAAACTAATCTAAAATTCTTAACTAAATTGTTATTCAGTTATTTAAACATCCTTAAATCTCCAGAATGTCAGAATATTGTCATTTAATAGAATTCTGTTCATTAGATACCTTTTCATTCATATACTTTTTTTTTTTTTTTTTTGTTTTTTGTTTTTTGGTTTATTGTTATTCCTGTTCTTCATTTGATGAAAATATATGTACTAAGTAAAATGACGTGTGTAATATAAACTTATTTTCAAACTCTTGAAAAATAACTGTATAACCTCATTTTCATCAGACAAATACTTGCTTCAGTGACCGAAGATATTTCCACTACACAGTGGACACATAAAATGCATTCGATAACTGCAGTAATTTGCATCTTCAGTAATTGTCGCACTTTTTCTAATGACTGAATCAAACGCCTGAACATTTTACGAACACTATGTATCAGTATCACGACTAGCAGTCACATATTTTAGAGAAATGAGAAAATATTAGTTATTTACTATAAACAAAACCATTTCTTATTTTTAACACTTGAAGTAAGAATTCAGTCAATTCTTAGTTCATAGTACTACATCACAGAAGAATGGCATTAGATACTTTAAATGCATTAGCCGGAAAATCTGAAGCCATCGTCTTTTGATGATTATCAAACATTGTTTTGCGATAAAACAAAACTGAATTATTAGATTGAGCTCCTTGAATTTAATAAAAACAACAATTTTAAATTTTCGATAACTTTATTCATAAAAGACAATGATGTATCAAAGGAAACTTTTACCTTCAACATAATTCATTTATCAATACCGTGGTTGATAACTATCTAACTACAGAAATCAGTAAAAGTTCGAATTTTTTTGAATAAATCGACTTTTTTGTGGACTCATTCAACGTTGTCAGTGTTTCTTTTAAATGTATAGATACAGCTCATAATGCAATAACCAAATTTAAATTACAAAAAAAGTTACATTTGTAAACTCAAATTCTACATCTGAAAATCATGTAGCTTCTACATAAGCTGAAAATAGTGTATTTTCGGAACACTCTTCCCTTAAAAAAATAAACGTATAGAAACTTTATTATAGGTAACAATGAAATGAATAAATAATAGAGCATTCTAAAGTTTCAAGTATTTTATTACTTAAAATAATCTATTATATTAATCTTATTTATTATCTGAAGGTAGTTGGGATACTAGTGTTTTCTCTTCTGAAGAAGTTACAAGATTTGGTTTGATTTGCTTGGAAAAAGAGATGACAAACCCCATAACGCAAGTGTGTGGTCAGATTACTCTGGCAGATATGAAAGGATTTTCTTGGTCTCACATTTTTCAAGTTACCATTCACGATATCAAATGCTTTGTTAATACAGTTCAGGTAAAATCCCTTTCTTTGTAATTAGTTTAACTTAACTCTAATTTCCTTCAACTCTTAGTAAATTGACAGTCCCCGCATAAATGATAATTAACTTATTTAGTTTGCTTTTTAGGCATAAATGGTAAAATCCGTCAAACGATCTAATAGCATGGGCATTTTGATGATTGTCCCCGTACGTATAATCTAAAGATGAACAAATTTACCTTGAAGAAATTCTTTAGATGGTCTCCCTCCCTTTAGGCTAATGGTCTTCTGTGCTCTGCCTTATTTAGCTAAAAAAATAAAACGTAGACATGAACAGAAGACAACGAAGCAAGATATAAATATAAATTCTTTCAACTACACATTTATGTAAAATTTGCGTTATAAACCTGAAAATTAAATTTAAATACTAAAAAAATTAACATATTTGGCAATACTTTTTTGAGGTATTAAAAATATAAAATCGTAACAGTATGTTAAACTTATTCATCGCAAAATATTAAAATATCTTTTGAAAGGTTTTTAAATTATTAAATTACGAAGTTTAGCCTTTGCGAATAGCGAGATGTAACATCCAGTTATGGTTTGCCCCTTCTTTCTATCAAGATACTGTAAAGAAACTAAAAATATTACTAGTTACGGCCTCTCTTATAAATTCGGTAATATTAATAGAATGTAAAAATAATGACAGCGTAACGTAACTTTAAATATTATCTTATTCTTTTTTATCCTACGGAGCGCTTGACCGTGAAATTCGTTCATTATTAATTTAAAAATAAAGGAACCTCTCCAAGCAAGGCAACGTAATTGAACTTCATGCCATTAATAGTCAGTTTTAAAAATAGTTGATGTATAATGGAAGATCTATAGAAATGAAAGAAAAACAAATTTTAAAATAAAGCTTAATTAAAACCTAAATTTTATGACATACCTTTAATATGAATGTGATTTTAGATGATTCAGATTTTTAATAACAATTTAAAAAATTTTCGAGTTTCTGTTTATAAAACTTTCCATTATTCTTAGATTACTAAATTTCATACGGTGGAATTAGAATTATAGAATTAGAAACAAACTCTTTAAATCATCAAAACGTATTTTAAATGCGTATAATGCAAAAGTGTTTTACCTGAATTGTCCATAACGTGATTTTGTTTGGTATTAGGTATAAATGTTACATAAATATGTGAAAAGAGTTTTCCTAACAAGTTTGATAATAAGGTAGTTTTTTATCTTGCGAAATAAATGTGAAGAGAGAAACATAAATTGACATATTAGATATGTGACCCAAATTTCATTTCAAGCATACAAAACTTCAAATTTATGTAAATGCAATATTTGAAAATTTGAATGAATATGTAATTTATTTTTTAAACATTAGTTTTGTAATTACAGGATGGGATACCAATAAGGCATAAAGCAATGCATGTTATAAATAATCCCAGCATATTTGGTATTATATTCGGCATCTTGAAGCCTCTGTTAAGTAAAAAATTGAGAAGTAGAGTAAGTAATCTATATCATGTTTTAAAATATATATATATATATATATGTCTTTTCAGACATCAAATGCATACATGCAATAACTTTTGCTGTCTTTTATTTTCTTTTTTTTCCTGCATTTATGAAGTTAATATTATGGATATGAATTGTAATTGATAAAGATAAATTTTATATGTCTACAAAATGTTTTTTTATTTATAACTATTTTATATAATTTACGAAATGAAGTTATAAGAAATTTTGCTTCACAAAAGTATACAAATATGTAAAAATGTTAACTAAAATTTTATTTATTAATTCTTTACATTTTTGAAAACATAAAAAAAACCTGAACAACCTAAAACATAATAAAATAGTTAGAGAAGGAATTTTTCAAGTTATTTCAGAGCAACTTTTCTCAGAAGTGGATGAAGCATAAAAATATCAGAAAGTTTAGTTTCTGGAAAAAATTTCGAAAGACAACCTTCGCCAAAGAAATCTTCAAAAAATTTTACGTTTACGTTAAATTACGTTTACATCTAAGTTACACTGACGTTATGTCCTATATGTTAAATTTCTAAAATAAATAACATTTGACTTTGAATAATATTTCTATTATTAATAGCAAGTGTGGTAAAATATCAAGCAAAACTGATCGTATGGTTTCAGTATTTACACAAAAATATTAAGAAACTCAAAATAAGGAACACACATGGAAAATAATTTCTGCATTCATAGTAAAAGTTTGAAAGTGCATACACTGTAAAATTCTCCAGTGCATGCAAATATTTGGGTATAGAAGAGAATAAAATATTTCATCATTTATATTTTTTAAACATTTACTTGGTTTAAAATCCTTAGAAATATTTGATAAAAACATATGAAAAATGTAAAAATACAGTATTATAGTTTTGAAAATCGTTAGTGTTCTATTTCATTTAAAAAAGACAAACATTCATTACAAAATGTATAAATCAATGCATGAAACTTTAAAGGAAAGCATTTCTTTAATCATGTTATATGATCAATTTTTTTTTTTTTTTTTTTTTTTTTTTTTTTTTGTTTTTATAAAATGACTTCGATTTATAAATATAGGCTTACACAGATTTTTCCTCTTTAATTTTTCCCTCTTTTTATATACCTTAAATTGTATAATTTAAGTGCATTTTATTTACCTCAAATATTTAACAGTAACAAAACATTTTGCTTTATTAAGCAACAACATCATCAGTTATTTGAGACACCATTATAAGATATCGTTGCGAAATCCCCAGCTGCGGTAAGATAGCTTCCCACAAAGCGGAGTTAAGGTTGCCAGAAAGTGGCAGGGAAAAGCAGAATCGCCAGATTTGTCACCAAACGTTGCCAAATAGGCGATTTTTCGCCAAATCTGCAACTTTAATCTTGCTTTACGAGGAAGCTAACCGCAGCTGGGCATTTCATAACAATATTTACTGCATCAATATGTATACATTAGCATCATGTTAAGTATGTGATACACATCGGAAGCTGTTTATTAAATAGACAGATACCATTGGGTGTTGTACGTATGATAACATTCTTTTCTTTAGCTACCTTGTTTTATATGTGACCGAAATTTTTAAATTATTAGGACATACGGCTGAATTCATGTATATCTTCAAATGCTGCAGGAACGTTTTAACTATTAATTTGTAATCACATTGTAAAACTGATTTCAGTCACATAATATACCTGTCCATTTGAATAAAGTGTTCTATTAGAAAAGACATTCAGGCAAAGCTAATTTTCCCCATATCCATAAAAACAAAAATACAGATCCCATTATCTCAATTAAATAGAAGGTTATGTAAATTATCTTTTATTTTTATGCAATTCCCTCTACATTTGTATCACAAAGAAATAAAAAGAGAAAATAACAGAAAAAGAAAAAAAGAATATAGAAAATTGTTATATATAGAAACATTTTCGTATATAACATAATTTGTTAATAACAAAATCTTTTCACTTTGAACAAAACTCAGATTCTGAATATACTTATCTGATAAAGAATTTGTCTAGATATTGCCTTAGATGAATTTAGTGTAATGTCAGCTAAAATTCTATATCAGATCAGTATACTCAGAGTACTGAAATACAGATCATATTTCAAAAGAACTACAAGGCATCCTAGCTCCGAGTTGTACAGCTGCGAAAGAAAATATTTTTAAAAATTTTAATTAATAAATATATTGTGTTCATTCTGAAAATGATCTGAATTGACATCCGTAGATAGGTTCCTACACGTAGATAGGGTCAAAAGTTTAAAATGCTTTTATAATAAACAGAATAGAAGAGGCTCGTACCTCTGTCTTTCCATTAATCCTACACTGATATGTGATCTTACATTTCTCAAGACAGTTTTGGAAAATTTGCTATTTCTTCGCGAAAACCCCGGCCTGTTAGAGGGCTAACAAATTTTACATCAAATAAAGAGTATAGCATTCAGAATGATCTCATTAATTATGAAAAAATAATTAGTCAACCCATTACTACTAAGAATTCAAACGGCGTCATAACTCATACTAGATTTATCTTCCTTTCAGATTCATCTTCATGGAGACAATTTGAGCAGTTTACATCAGTTTATTCCTCCTGACATATTACCTGAAGAATTTGGTGGAACACAGGGTACATTTGGAAATGAAAACTTTTATCAGAGGTTATTGGCTAGTGAAGAAGAATTCGAAAAACGCCAGAAATATGGATATCATGTTATTAAATAAAGAGGAAGGAGATGTTGAGACTTCACGTGCATGGGATTTGCTTTCTTACTTTTCCTTGTAATGCTTATAATTTTTGAAGTATTAATATGTCTAGCCATACCAGACTTCATTGCGTTGTTACCTGAAGCTCTATCTTCCCGATCCGTAAATGGAAGCTGATATGAACTCAAAAACGCAATAATTTCAACAATTAAGAGAAGCATTATATAAGCAAGGGTGATTAATTTTCTTAGTTGCAACTGTTTATTTATTTTTTAAAGAAAAATTTTGCATTTTAAAATATAGTAACACTCTGATATTAAGTTGTAATTTGTCCCTAAACCAATAACCACAGTCGAAAAAACGTAAGTAGGGCAGTTCTGCAGACACAATGCTGAAATAGAATAGACCGTACAAGATAAATTAATTTTCATTTAAAAAAATAAACAAGGACATATTCATTTATTTATAATGAAGTTTTTAATATGCATAGAATTCAAATTTTTAATAACTGAGTATGATACAAAAATTATTGGTACTCGCGCACATATTTTTTTAGTAACTTTTATTACAATGATGAAATTGTTGTTGTTGCTGTTACTTATGCTCACTTATCTAACAGTAACATCAGTCAAGCCCACGAAATTCCTCGCGGCAAGGAGCCAAAATTACGCCTGTCGTTGGCAACAGCCTTAAGCACCTTACAGGTGACAGTGAGATTTAGCTCAGTTCTGTCCCGAATTTTGATGGAGAGGAGACGGGTCCGAGAGTCTCCCCCTCCCTCTCCCCTTCCACCAAACCGCAGGAAAGGACTTTCGGCTCGCCGCATATTTAGAGTGCCGCCATGCAGCATTGACACTATACATTTACAAAAATCCATGCCTTCTCCGGGACTCGAACACGGGCCCTTCAGTACGACAGTGGGCTTCCCTAACCACTATACCGTCTGGGTGGCATATTGATACACTTCTTTATGTGACATATATTTTTCTGCTAAATGAGATTCCAAACATAAGAGAAGTTCTTACAAAAGAATTGGTTTCGAATTACAGTCTAATCATGGAGACAAGTTTACACAAAATATTTCTTTAAAACAATGCAGTAAAATAAATTTTCCATTAAACTTTCATTAATTCCCTTTAAACATTGATATAATAATGTTATGTATTTGGTGTTGAGAAATAATAATACAAATAATGTCTCTGATTGATACCAGATTTGACATCATGTGTATAAAACATTTCATAATTGCAAGAATTTATAAATGGCATGAATGAAATTTGATAGCAGTAAAGTTTGTAATGTAGCACGTTTCTCCTATAATTTCACCCAGTAAAAGAAATAAACTAAAATAAAGAATGAACAACACACAAGATAAATGTCAGCGACGCTAACCATTATACCGACATATACAATACCGGTTGGTCGGCAGGATGAAATTAAATGAACTTGTTGTTTTAAGTCCGAAAAATCCTGTATAGAAATCCGAACTGAAAAAAACTTCATTTTTACTGTAAAAACATCTGATAGAAGAGCTTTCAGCAGGTTCATTATAAGAATTTAGCAGAATTTTTAACAAATTCAAAGCAGGATTTTATCAGACTTCTTTCCCGGTGCTTTTTTTTCTCTAGTCGACGCTCGTCCGAAGCGTTGTCTGCAAAGATGTTCGTTCCAGTATTGCTGGGAAGTAACATTTCGAATAATTTTAAAGATCGCATTTTTTGTTTTTACAAATGAAGAAAAAAGATGGAGGAAAAAGGAATGGGGTCATTTTTCTCAATTACTTCCAGAACATTCTAGTTCTGAAATTCCAGAATCGTTGAACTTCAGTTCTTGAGCCTTGTAAAAATTATTTCCGAATATTTCTAATCTGAAAACTAATTCTAAAAACTAATTGTAAGTCTTCTTACAGTCAACCTAAGGACGGGATCCTGTAATTCAAAGCAACGTATGCTGAGATATTATCAGATTAAAAATAATAATGTTTCTCTTTATATATTCTTGAACGAGAGTAAGTATAAAAATCCAAAATTTCAGCTATCCAGAAAATGACAACTATCCAGAATCTGCATTAAAAATTACAAAACCACGTCGTAAGAGTCTCTGGCATCAGCCTTGTTTTAAAAATACTGACATGGAATGCTTTCAAACTTCAGTGAAGATTTTAATAGTATGAACTCTTTTGCCAAAGGAAGCATTTTTTGGTTGGACTTCTACCAGTGTTGTTACTACAAATTTTACGCCAATGAATGAATAACTTGAAACGCTATGCATTACACATTGCGAAAATAACTTGGAGGTAAAAAAAAATCAGGAAGCAAAAAATCAAAATTATTTAATACAGGGAAAGAATATTTTTCATGAAATACCGATAGTTTGAAATAGCAGAATGGCTCAGAAAAATTTTGTTGAAGCAAAATTTTCAAATGGGTTACTTAAAAACTTATTTTTCAGTTAATATTATTACTAACTTCTCAAAATACTTTAGGTACTGAAGTTAAATTTTTCAGCAATATTTTGTTGGTTACCGACTGTGTTTTTAACTAGATGATAAGCTCTACAAATTAATTTCAAGGATTTTACAAGTATTTCTATATAAAATAATGAGTGTATTTTTTTAAATTTTTTTTAAAAATTAGCTTTTTTTCATATCATTTGAATAATTTCATTAAATTTTGAAAATATCATCAAATGTGTAGTTCATTACTTATATAATTATTCTGATCGTATGGTGTTTTGAAGGAAATTAAAATACATTCATTTGAACTGAGCACAGTGTGCCGACATAAACATCAAATTTTATTAAATATTGGCAAAATGTTTTCCCTTTTTTAATTTTTCAAATTGTGCTAAACTTGTACTTATTTTAGTGACTTTGTAAGTTTAAAAATATTTATAGTTAATTAATATTCTATATTTTCAAAAAAGATACTCCGAAAAAATAATCAAACTCTTTAAAGAAGGAAAAAGGCTTACATTTTTTAATGTAAAAATATATATTATATGTAATAAATCATACATCAGTGAATACTTTTTAAGTAAGATTTTGTATATATATGTTATATAATAAATTCATACATCATTCAATGTTTTCATTCTTTTTGAAACATTAAAGGCAAACAAAAAATATCTTAATTTTTTACAGTTTCAGAAACGTAAAAATAGTTATTTTATTTTCTACACGGTTACAGTTATTTTTCTTCATGATGTGTCTTATTCACTTTATATCCTCTGTTATTCCCTAGAGCTTATTTCTGAATTTTTAAGCCAATATTAAACTCTGGTATTATTATTTCTTATTTACATTTATCAACAGATTCTGGAAACGGTAGTGGCTTCTTTTCATAGTTCCTTTACCTACAGTACTCTCTTTTTAAGGATTAAGTTCCAGTCATCGTGTCGCTCTCCTTTCTAGCTGCGTTGTAATGCCATAGCACTTTCACAGAAAAACACTAAGTAGCAAAACATCAAAAGTATAAATAATTTACAGGGAATTCTTTTCTAACTTAAGAGGGGACGAATATTGATATACTACTGTGTTGTGACTTATCTCACCTGTCTGAGAGTAACATTAGAACAAGCCCACGAAACTCATCGTGGTGTGGAGAGGAAGACTGCGCCTGTCGTTGGCAAGAGGTTTGAGCACCCTACTACTTTTCTCAGTTCCGCCCCCAATTTTGATAAGAGCACTTCACGGGGGAGGGTCCCGAGGGCCTCCCAATCCTCTTTCCCCTACCACCAATCCTTCGAGAAGACTTTTCGGCTCCCCATATATTTATAATGCCCCCATTCCGCAAAGACACTATACATTTACAAGAATCCATGCCTTCTCCAGGATTCGAACACAAGCCCTTCGGTACGACAGTAGGCTCCCCTAACCACGATACCGTTTGGACGGCATATTGTTATACTTCTTTATGAGACATACATTTTTCTGCTAAATGAGATTCCAAGGCATAAAAGAAGTTTTTACAAAAGAATTGGTTTAGAATTAGAGTCATGGAGACAAGTTTACACAAAATGTTTCTTCAAAACAATGCAGTATTTGGTGTTGAGAAATAATAATATAAAGAATGTCTCTGATTGATACCAGATTTGATATCATGTGTATAAAACGTTTCATAATTGCAAGAATTCATAAATGGCATGAATGACATTTGATAGTAGTAAAGTTTGTAATGTAGCACGTTTCTCCTATAATGTCACCCAATAAAAGAAATAAACTAAAATAAAGAATGAACAACACACAAGATAAATGTAAATTAAGACGTAAGAATATAAACTAAAATTGAAATTATTTAGTGACCAATTTAAGATAACTTAAAATAACATATAAAAACGCTTCTTTGTTAAAAACAAGTTAAAGTTTCAATTTAAAAAAAGATATCTTTGTTTTATGCATATTTCCATGATATTTTTCTGTACATTGAACAAATTATAAAAGCATTACGATCTATAAAACATGTTTTAATCAAATTTGTAATACTGAAATTGCTATTAAATTTCAGAAATATATTACGCCAAATCATTTTTTTTCCAATTTCTCTTATAAGTATTCACCATTATTTTAAGCTTTAAATTAGGCTTTGTCCGTGAAGGACTATTGTTTTAATATCAAATTTATTTCTCTCACATTCATTTTTATAGTTTGGGCTGGCTATTAAGACGAAAAAATAAAATTTTAAGAAGTAATTTTTAAAAAAATGAGTATTTCAAGCACAGAAATTGTTTAAAGAATTAAATTACAGAATAGCATTAAAATGGTCACAAAAGTAAGAAATTGGATCTCTATATGTTGTTTTCAAAAGTAATTGAATAAAACCTAACTTTATTGGCTGATAAATAAGGTCTGCCTCACGTGTTGGGATACAGTGCCTTTAGTCCGACGATAATCATAATGATGAACTTTTCAGTTCCCTTCTGTTACTAAGCCTATTTTTAGATTTTACTGTAGTCCATTAAGAACACTTTCCTCTAAGAATGCATTCTTAATCAAGTAACCAATTATTTTAACATTTAAGAATGATGTCTTTGTGCGTTTATATA